GGTCACCCGCGATCCAGGTCCGCACGGTGGCTCGAACGTCTCTGTGCCGACCTGGGCGTCTGACTGGCTGCCGTTTCCACCTAGGCCCTCGGGAGGCCTGCAGACTCTCTCTGTTCTCTGGAAACTGGAAGCCCCCACTGAGGCTGAGGGTGCAGAGCCCAGCCTGCGTGTACCTGCCTTCTCCCCTTCCCTGCTGTGCCCTGATCGCCCTGACACCCCCTGCCCACCCCACCCCGCAGAAGCCTTTCTTTCTCAGTCCTGATCAGGGTGATTCCTGGGTCTGCGAGTCCCTTCTCGGTGGAAGGGTCTCTCCCTGCCCAGATCCACCCACACTCGGACTGGCTGAGGCGGAGCTGGGCAGGAGGCGCTCACTGCCCGCTGAGGGCACACCACAGCTCTTCAGGGTCGGCCTCGTCCCCGAGGCCAGGCTAAGGCCCTGGGAGAAACAGCCGCCGGGCAGGGTGGCAGGTGGGCCTGAGCCACACGGACGCCCTCCCAGCCCTGCCCCTCCGGGCCCTTAGTTACAAGAGCCGCTACTGCGAGGCGGGTGCTGTCGTCCCCGAGGTGACCTGTCCCGGAGCTGTGTGGGCAGGGCAGCTGTAGCCTCGTGTGTGTGCTTCAGCACCTCGCAGTGGTTCGGAGTGCAGGAGCACGCCCCAGCTCCCGCCAGATGTGCATGGCGCCCTCCAGCTTCCGAACTGAGGAGGGTGCTGTCCAGGACAGGCACCCAGTGGGGTTTCCAAAAGTAGCTTCTCAAGTGGGGACAGAGGGAGGAGACCTGCTTGTGGCAGGGCTTGACGAAGAAGTGGAACTCCCAGTTCTTTTCTAAATGGTTTCTTGCCTGTGGGATTTCCAGTGTGCCTTTTGGTGTTTCTGGCAGTTTTTGTAATGGGATTAGTTAGAATAATTAAAAATACGTGTGTGCCTTCTAGACCTTTCCACATTTTTTGGTGGTACCATATATTTTCAGGAAGCAAAGGCTTAGGGCGTCCCAGCACCGTCGCGAGGCCTGTCTGAGCAGCGGAGGCTCTGGCGAGGTGTGTCTGTCTGCAGGCCCACCTCCCGAGAGAGCCCCGGAAGGGTCAGGTATTCGGGGCCAGGCAGGCGCTCCGAGCTGTGAGTGTGCCGGCCCAGTGTCTCCTGACCGGGGGCCTGGCCCGCCACCCGGCATCTCCCTGCTGCCTGTTGTACAGCCGTGGGGCTGATGGCCGGGAGGTCACTCGGGGGCAGCCCCGCCCTCCTGGGCTCCGAGGGCCACCATGGTCTGCCTTCTCTCCTGTCTCTCCCCTGGGATGAGCTTGAAGTCCCCAGGCCAGCATGGCCCTCCCTGAGGCTGCTGTTCTGGCCCACCAAGTGCAGGGCGCACTTCTCGGATTTGCAAGGGCGGCTCCTGAGGCACTGCCACTTGGGGTACGCAGCTGACCTGGTGTCGTTTGTCCTGCTCTGAAGCTGTCTTGGTGGCCACACTGTGAAACTGCTGTCTGCTCCCCTTCATTAGTAACGGGGTGACATCGGGAGCACGTCTGCAGTGACATGCCTGCCACGGCAGCACGTCCTGTGCCGCCCACCAGAGGCTCATTTAAGAAAAGCTGATTCCTGGAAAGTTCGCGGTTTTCCTTGCTCCTGGGCAGAACGTAGACTCGGCAGCCTACACCGGAGGCGAGCCTGAACAGAAGGCGCTCCCAGGGGTGTCTCAGCGCGGGCTGCAGGGAAGCGGGGCCAGAACCTGCGGCCGCTTTCTCAGAGCTGCGGGTGGGCCTGAGCGGCCCATGCGGGCTTGCAGACCGCCTGCACCACGGCCGTTGCCCTGCTCCTGGGGCCCCGTTTCGGGAGCTCCAGACCCTCGGTCTCTGGGAGAGATGAATACTCCCATCTCCGTTACCCTGACGCTGTGGTCTCTGGAACAGCTGGCTGAGAGGCATGGCACATGCGTGCTGGGGTGCGCCCTGGCTCGGCAGGCGGTGGGTCTGCGCAGAGGGCCTCTCATTTGCAGCAAGCGCAGGGGTCTGGGGGCTGAGGCTGCCCTCCTGTGGCGGGGAAGGACCCTGCATGTCCACCTTTGCCA